TTTTTTTCTGCTCGCGCGCGCCCCTAGCGGGCACGCACGGGCAGAAAAGACCCGATCAATGTACACACCCGTTACCGGGTGTTTCACATATAGGCGATCAGCGGGTCCATAGCCCGCCGATCGCCTATATGTGCTCGAAATAAATGTCAGTTAAAGTACCGCAGCGCTGAATACTGAAAAATGGCCTGGATGGGAAGGGGGTTTAACACCGCGGATGTCAACTGGTTAAACATGTTTCTGCAACTTTTCATGTATTACTATAGAAGAATTACTATATATTTGCTAAATATATTCAATTGGAAAGCATCCAATATTCCACATGCAGAATCTTGGTTACACTTTCAGTCAGTAGCTTGTGATATTGCCTCCTTTGGCACAAAATACAGCTTCCAGATGTTTCCGCCTATCTTCTATTGTTCCTTTAAGCTTCTACTCAATTGTCCTTGATGTGCACTTCTAATCTAGAAATATTCTCAAATTATTTTGCATGTGATTTAAATTTGAGACAAACCCAAAGATAATGAATAATATTTAAGTATGGGGACTGTGAAGGTCCAGGATTGTCTAGAGCTCTGGAGTTCAAGAGGACCAAGGAAAATCTCAGATACAATGCTTTGTGATAGATCCATTTCATCAACAGATGACAAAAAGCTCTTCAAATCCCCCCTCCCCCGCCTTAAATTTACTTTTGACAAGTTAAAGTTTCTATATTTCATATGCAGAAATATGATCTGCATGGAAGAGTATGGAACACAACATGTGGATGACTACAAAGTAATGATAAAATAAAAACTGAACTCTGGCTACTCTTGTCAAATGTAAATTTAATTTTTTATTTCATCAGACTTTAAGCTTATCTAAAGCAAAAAAACATAAATAATGTGTAGCTGCTTACCAGTCCTTAGAAGGGGCTACATTTTTTGTGTGGCTCTCTTTCTTTATTTTCACTGGGTAATCCAGGGAATAAACACTACATGTCTCTACATGGGTAAACATATTCCTCCACTGTGTCTATAAAGAGAGTCATGGTTGCCACCCAGGTTGGATTACAACATGTCTGTCTTTGGTAACCTCCATTACACAGGGGGCTTATGGGGATAGAAGAAGATTGACACTACATTTCCGACATGAGCAACATGTATTTTCTGTACTTGCCTAAAATGTTCTTTCCCTTCAAATGCAGCCAACACATCTAAGGACTGGTAAGCTGCATTGTATTCAATTTTTGTTCTTGGGTTTGGTCATGCTTTAACCAAGCCAGTTTTATACTCTTCCATGCAGATCATATTTGTGCAAGCAATGCAGTGCACTGCTTGCACAGTGCACCACACCTGTGGCATTTAAACATTGCTTTGGGTGCTTTGCAGTGATATGAGGGTTTTACTTTGCATACTTAGCATATGATTTGCATGGGACAATCATTATGAAGAAATCTTACCTGTTATTGCAAAAATCTGCATCTAAAGTATAAAACACAACAACTGGAAAAGTGATGGAAAATATACTCTGTCTACTGTCACTAAAAGTACATCTGAAGGGGTAATGAACAATTATTTAAAGAAAATAACTCTTTGCCATCTGTGAAGCAGTCTGAGATTTTCTTGGACTGGTACCGGTCTGTGAGTGACCTTTTTGTCAGAAACCAGATCTGAACCCAGAGCCTCTGCTGTAGCTGGCGGTGGTTCTACCTGCTGAGCCACGTTAGAACCTTGGATAGCTTCTTGCCTGATCTCCTGTGTGATCCTCAGTTACACCTAATCTCTGCTGAACTCTGAACTCCATGCTCCTCCCTTCAACTTCCTATTTAAGCCATGCCTCTGCACTTCCTCTTTGCCAGATTATTGTGCTCCTGCCTTGATCTTGCTTCCTGCTCCCTCTGTGCTTCATTCTGCTCATACTGCTTCCCGTGTACCGACCCTTGGCTACTGATTGACCGACTACTCTCTCCGTCTCCTGCTACATACCTGATACCTTTGACTCCTGACCTCAATTTTTTCACTGACTACGCTTCTGCCTGCTCCTCCACCACTACCTGCTTCTGCTTGTGTACCGAACCCGGCCTGTTATACTACGAATTGCCTGCAGCTTCAGCTGCTGGAGCCTGAACCCAGATCGTGACACTTTTAGGGACTGTGTATATAACTGTGCAATCAGTTATGTTATATGACAATACAAATTTCTATTCCTTACATTGCTCAGACACCTTGTAGAGGTCCCTGGGAGGTTACGCCACTAAACAGAACACAGAGACCACAAAGATTTTTTAGGTCAGTATGATGAATATAATACTACGCATGAAAATAATCTCAATAGTGTTGCTAAGTAGCCTGATTTTTCTTTGAAATTTTGGTAGAATGTTTATCTTACTCAAGGTGCCTTAAATGCCTCTCAGGACAGCATTACACTATACTTCTTACATTTAGTCAAGAAAAAGTAGAGCAAACACTTTAGAAATTGGTAGCATACCATCATCTCCTGTTTCTCCTTTCTCTCCATCCTTTCCATCTTTGCCATCTTTCCCTGGAAAGCCCATTCTTCCAATGGTGCCAGTGGGTCCAGGATGACCTGGAACTCCAGGCGGTCCAGGAGGTCCTGGCATGCTGCAGATAAGTTGAGGGTTGTCTTTGGAATAATGTAACTCTCCTTTAGCAGAACTGGTAAGCAGGTTATTGGCAACACATGGAAAAGCCCAAATCAGAAGCATGAGTGAAATCATTTCTCAACCTATGATGGCATGAGAGAAAAGAATACAAATTAAAATCTAAAAATGAATATAACAAAGGGGAGATTGCAGGATAATTATGTTTGGGCATATTAGGCATGGCTTGAGTAGTTATGGTAGCTATCCATTGACTGTGTGAGAACTTTTAGGGGCATTACAAGTGGGAGAGGTTGGATGATTTGTGCGTCTGCCATAATTTATCTGGGATGAGGACTCCTGTCTGTATGTCATTAATCAGAAACATTGCTCCTTTGGGAATATGCTGGGAAAGAGGGGCTGCTATTATCAGTTATTGTTGGGAGGGTGCAAGGGGGCCTGGGGATGGGTACTATTGTCAACTTGCGATTTGAAGCTGTTCTTGTGCAAACTTCAGATCTAGGGATAAAAGCAGGTTCCACCATAAGGCCCCGTTCACACCAAGGCGGTTCGGTGGCGCGGATTTGTCTGTGTTGAACTGCCGACATGAACGATTCCATACATTCCTATGGGCACTGTTCATGTGATTGCGCTGCTCCGCGCGATCCGAACCGCCTGCCACCCAAAATGCTCCCTGAGCTATTTTTTTTGCGTTGATCAGCGCGGATTCCATATAGATTTTAATGAAAACACTCTGATTAGCGCATCTGCCCTGGTGTGAATGGGGCCTAAGTCTAAAGGGGGTTATTGCTGAAAGCATAGACCTGATCCCACTGCCGTCTCACTGCTAACTGCCCTCACCCACCCTTAAGAGCCATAGTTATATAATAAACCCAAAACTCATACCCTGTGCTCCAGCTTCACTGTGCTTTAGTTAGTGAAATTTACACTCCAACATTAGTTCTAATTGCAGAATAAAGCATTCTTTACTTTAAATGATTACAAATTTACGTATATTTTCTCCTTTTATATCAAGGAAAGTACTTCATGTGTTGTGATTTTTTAACAACAGGTTTAAATAAGCAACTTAAAGGGGTTTTAAAGCCTCCGTTTTTTTTGCCTATATCTACTGCTGAGAAGCAGTAGATATAGGCAAAACGTTTTTTTTTTTAAACCCACTTAAACAGCGGTTTAGACTGACCTTATTATCGCTGCGCGCTCCCGCTGCGAGAGTCCAAGACTGTTCATGCGTCCGCAAAGGATCTTGGGCGGGCGCATGCGCAGTTCGGATTCTCGGCCGGGAGACGAGCAGAGACGCAAGGTAAGCCTATAGACGCGTGCACTGGCATGCAGACACCGCTGGATCGGAAGTGCCTGTAAGCAGAGAGGAGTCAGCGCTGGATCGGAGAGCCGCCGCACCGCTGGAGGGACAGATGAAAACATGGGCAAAGAAGAGGAAGATCGGATTAAGAGACATCATTTAAGCTAAGTGCTGACATTAACATGGGGGGGAGGGAAACATTTTTTATCCTTTAATGTCACTTTAAAAAATCCAGATGACAAGGTTTAATTTCCTGATCACAAGAACAAATTGTACATACAAAATAAGGTTGACATGACAAATTGAACAGAATTCAGAATGTTTAATTTGGGAGAAATATATAAATTAACATAGGAAATAAATGCCATCCAAGTAATGTCTTGTTACCTAGTTGGCATACCTAGACGGTGGAGCCTTTCTGTCATAAAACAAAAGTTTTGAATGTACTATTTCTATGCAATAATACTGTCAGTAGTATTTTCTTGACATGAGGTACCATGTAGAAATTGCAGGTTGGTCTGCTGGGGTAGTAAAGGGTGAAACAGTTATTTTCACGAGCTACTTTTAACCTGCTGTATCTATGTGACCCCTACCTTGTCTAATTTAGCTGAACAGCCTTGTAACCATACAGTACATTAGATTTTGTAGGAAAGTGTGGAGATGACCAAAGATAACCATCAATCTACAGTTTGGTTGATATTCATTTAAATAAGAACTATTATTTTCCAAGCCACAGAAAATTGAGCAAGAAGAGTTTTGAAGTTTCCATTAAGTGTCAAGTCACTAAAAAGTATCTAAACCCAAAGTCAAAAATGTAATATATTGCAGCTTACCAGCCCTTAAATGTGGTGGCTGCATTGGTTTTCTCTTTTTACTTTTGTTTTCCTTTATTTTCACCTGTCAATTCGGCCAGTTACACACTTCATCCCCGTTCACATTTGCCTTGCAGTGAATATATTGAGCACTTAACTCTTGCACTGCGGGGGGTAGCCCCACTGCAAGGGTAAGTTTTTTACATGTCCAGATTTAGCCAATACCTAAGGTGTCTTACCTCAACAGCTATTAAGTAGTTATACAGAGCTATTGTAATAACTAATGTACCCTATCTCTAGTGGCTAATCTACAAATATGGACATTCATTAAAATTAAAAAGGTGGAAGAATCTTGTAAAAACCTGAAGTCACATTGCAGTTAAGGTAAACACTTCAATATTGACTCAAAATATGCACTTACTATAAATGCACTATACAGTACTTTGCCTTTCAAGGAGGTGGAGGGGGTCCTGCAATGTAAATCCTACCAGTCACTTGCAACCCTTGGCATTCTGGGTCACATGTCTCATGGTCAAGGCAGAAGTATGCTGGCCTGCTTGCTAATAACGTCAAAGTCTTCACCTACTCTAGGTCATGTAACTTGGCTGCAAAGCACTGTTGGACCTGCTGTTTCCAGTTGGAACATTTGTTTTTGCACAATGTGATCAACCCTACCCCCTAATAGATTATTATATTTAGACATGTGTGATTCCTTTCATTCCGAATTGAAGTTCATATGAATTTTCCGAAATTCAGACATTCGGATGCATCCGAATTTCCAAATGAAAAAATAATGAATCTGAACATATCCAAATTCTCCGATAACGAAAATTTTGAATGCATCCAAAAAGGTTTCCGAATGTCATTCTAAATTATTAATTGTTGTTAAACGTTAACATAAACAAACAAACAGTTAACATAAAAAGAATCCTCTCCCCAATTCATACCACACCATTTAGGTCTGGTAGGAATTTAGCACGCAAAAAAAACAAAACGCTGAAATCCCTTACCAGACCCTTTGATCCGAGCAGCAGCCTGGCAGAGCAGGAAAGAGGGGGGTATAGGGGGGAGCATGCGCCTCCCCCTGCACTATACCAGGCCACATGCCCTCATCATGGGGTGGGTGCTTTGCCAGGGGGGACCCTTGTCCCCATATTGATGAGGACAAGGACCTCTTCCCCACAACCCTGGCCCTGTTGGTTGTGAGGGTCTGTGGGCTTATAGGAGTCTGGGTTCCCCCGTTTATAAAGGGGGGCACCCAGTTGCCGAACCCTTGTGAGTGAGTAAGTGTAGTTGTTACCCCTATTCATTTACCAAATACAGTAAAATAGTAAATTTACACACAATACCATGAAGAAAGAGTCCTTTATTTGAAAAGAAAAAAAAAACAACACAGTTTTTGACAAGTCTTTTATCTTAAAAAAAAAATGTCCATCAATGTAATCTAAACATTAATGACGTCGTCCAGCGATGTAGATCCACGTTAATCGCGATGGACCATGGCCACGACTAACGGAAAGAAAATAATACCCGAAGCCCGCCAACATGACCGATCCTGGCAAACTTTGACCCGAATGTCAACAAAGGGGCAGAGCGAGTCGTGACATTTGGGAGCAGAACTGTCCTAATAATAACTCTGCTCCTCAATGTCAAGAAAGGGGCGGAGCGAGTCGTGGCGTCACTGGACTTGTTCCGCACATTTGTTGACATTCGGGAGCAGAGTTGTTATTATGACAGCTCTGCTCTCGAATGTCAACAAAGGGGCGAAATAAGTCCTCTGATGTCACAACTTGCTCTGCTCTTTTGTTGATATTTGGGTCAGAGCTGTCATTTTGCGTCGAGAGTTCGGTTTGGTTGTGGCGTAGTATTTTTTCTATCAGCGAGTCTGTGGGCGTCGTAAATCCTGATTGATGTGGATCTACATTGCTGGACAACGTCATTGACCTGTGGATTACGTCAATGGACATTTTTTTAATATAAGACTTGTCAAAAACCTGTGTTGTGGTTTTTTTTCAAATAAAAAACTTTTGAAGAAGGTGTTGTCTGTTTATTTGCAATTTGGTGAATGAGTAGGAGTAACAACTACCTCTTACTCAGATTCCTTTAAGCCCCCCTGCCCTCATTACA